TGCTATCCCTGCCCTCCTCGCTGATCACCTCCCTAATAGCTGAAGTTTCCCTATCATATAATTCCATGTCTCGCGGGGTCGGCCACATCATTCCAAACATCGAGATGAACAGGATCTGTGCCCAGAAGCCGAACGTTCGCCCGGCACTGATGTACAACTTTCCCGCGTCCACCCCCATTCGAGGAAACGCCGTACACATAACGTTCCAAGGCAGAGTGATGATTCCAGACTTCTTCATCAGTTTATCCATGGCTTCTCCAGCCCTTATCAGCTCCTTAGCCTCCTCCCTGACTCTGTAGTTAGTGGGGAATCCATTCTCTTCGAAATTTCCGGGCCCTACCCAGAGCACATTGGCATTGGCTTTCCTGATCGTCTCCCTCGTTTCCCTCGCCACCTTGGTCTTAGTGTCATCGTCCGTAGCCTCGAACCGTCTAACCTCGTCTATTGCTCGGCGAGCATTCCCTGCTGCCATTCCAGCCGGGGCCAATATCACAACAATGTTCGTCACTTGATTCCCTCCCATGCCCTTCGAGACGCATTCCTTGCACACTTCCTGAACCTTCTTGTACGCACCCTGGTAGGTCATCTCCTGCGTTCCTGTCAATTTGTGTGTAATGAACGACATACTCTCCGCGGCCTTTCCATAGTCTCCGTGCGCCTTCAATAGCATTGCTATCCACTCTCGGACTTCCCCTGGTGACGCCGGATTCTTCTTATTCGAGACGCCCTCTATCCCCTCAGGTATGATGATGTGTACGTAGGTCTTCTGATCCGCACTACATCGGAGCTGAAGTGGCGGCTTCATTCCCTCCGCCCACCATGTCACCAGCTCAGCCGCCTTGCGCTCATGGAATGCAGTAGCTATGTCAAACATCCACTCGTAGGTCTCCACCGCGGACTCAAGCTCGCTCGAAAGCGCTGGCTCCATCAATCTCCCTCCAACTCCGCCCATTCCTATGCCAATGATAGCCGCCCAGGCCTGAGCCTCGAACGCCCAGCTCTGGTCGACGTCCTCCGGTCTGTTCCACCCATATTTCCTGGGTGCCTTTTCTATCCCCAACACTATGCTTCCCACGTCCGCCATTTCCAAAACCTTGCCCATGTGGTGCGTGGCCTTATTCGCGTTCTCCATGACTTTCTCCTCTATCCCGCTGCTCTCCACACACCGTCTGTAAATGGCTGGCCCCACAAAACTCCTCCACGGCATCTTCACGACAGCGCTATCGTGTCCCGTGGCCATTGGGGCCTCTATCCCCATATACTCCAACAAACGTATCACATTGGCCCATTCACTATCCACCGGGTAGTAGTCCTTGTCTCGATCAGGCCCAGACACGCCCCCACCGCTAGGCAACTCCGCTATCCATCCCCTCATGAGCTCTATCAAACCACTTCTTGAGCCAGTTGGCTGTTCGACGACCGTCGTGACATTTTCGTCACCTTCCCGATGCAGGAACTCGTGTTCCATCTTCCAATCCACAGGGCGCTCAGGAAGAGGTCCTCGGGCCGGGCCTATAATTGCGCGCTTTTCCAGGTGATATCGCCAATACAGCCTCTCAACCCCTTGCGGGTGCTTCTCCATCAGCGCCGACATCTCACTCATGAGATGGCTATTCGCTCCTAAACCCGGGTGCTTCGGCCTACAGATGAGTGCATGCCCGACGATCCTCGTGGCCCTCATAAAGCAGAACAGTACCCCGTCTATCTCCACTCTATCCACATCCATTCGGATCTGCCCCTCAGGCACCGACGATCTCCTTGTCCCCACATCCATTTTGACATTCTTGCCTATCCTTCTGAAGCCGGCCAGTACTCTTACTATCCATCCATTCCCTAACGAATGCCATGTAGAGTATGATGCTGTACCACAGATGCTTCGTCCAAACCAGCATCCCGCAGAGTCGTTCACACTGGGAGCGCCGGTCGTCCACGTGACCAGCGGATGGCTTCGATCTATCCCACCAGATGCTATCATCGACCACAACGCCTCTAGAGACGTTCCGTGGAAAATCCACCCGGGCACATTGAACTCCTCATTCCCGACCGACATCTCCTGATTCAGCTTCTCTGCTCCGGCGTACTCGGCCTTCGTGGGTACCCACATACATCGCGAATCCGTGAAATGTTCTTTCACATCCTTAATCCCCCCGTCTGCCTGGACCTCCGGAAATGTGATCACTTCTTCGGCCAGGGACCAGTGCAACAGGTGTAGAACTGACGTCGGTCCCCCTATCTGCCATGACAGTGTATCCAGATACTCCTTCATCTGTCCATTTGCTGCATTCGCCATAACTCCGTATCCTTTTTCTCCCCCCTCGCTTCTCCGGAATTCCTCCATCACGTCTCTTCCTCTCTTCAAGTATTGGCTTTCGTAGGCCCCCATAATCTCGTCTGCCATGCCTATCACCTTGATCTTGGGCTGCGCCTCCGTCCATATCTTCAGCTTCTCCTCGCTCGACTTATGGCTGACCGCTATCCGCTCCGCAACCTGAGACGGTGGAATTGCATACTTCAATGGTCGCACGGCCAACCATGTCATCATGCCTTTGATCGCATCATCGAACGGGCTCTTCTCTGTGTCGTTCATGTGGATCTCCGCCCAATCTAGGGTCTTTCTGCTGATCCCTCCCCAGCAAGCCCTGAATGGGTCCTTGCTTCCGTTCGTGACGTCATATACACCTCCCACGGAGATGGCTATCGGTGCCACACCAGCTATCATCCTCTCATACGATCTTCCCCTCTGAAAGGACTTCTCTGTTTCATCCGTCGCGCCGATGAACTTAGGGGCCCATGGCGTATCAACGTCTCCTCCTGTGCCTGCTGTGGGCATGGCACATCCCGGCACGTCTATCCCTCTGGCCAATCGCACTCCTATCAAGTCGTTCAGCTTTTCCCTCGACAGGTTCCCGGAATCGGGACTCGCCTGAGGTGGCGGCTTCGTCGCCCCTCCATGCGACCTCGGCCTATCCCAGTTCGCTATCACCCTCTCCAGGTAGTCCGTGGCATCCGTCACAGTCGCAGCTATCAGAGGGATCTTCTCCCTTATCCACGCTTCAGGATTCCGCCTTGTACACCGTAGTACCTCCCAGAGATACATAATCTTGTGCACTCGCATTCTATCCACATCGTAGCCCACGGCCGGTCGTTTACCTCCTTTCTTCGCCGTCTTGGCCTGGGCCTCTTCCGCTCTCACACCAGCTATCCCACTGCTCATCCATTTCTTGAAGTCCGCATCGTCCTTGAAATGGCTGGGGATAGCTCGTCTAGCCCATACCTCCTGCATCTCTAGATTTCCCTCCAACATCCAGTGTATTCTAGCCTGTTCTCGTTCCTTGGCTCCGACTGGCAGATACGAGTACGTCGTCACCCCTGGCACTCCATCCTCCGTCTCGGCCTTGAGGTATCTATCCGCGTCGGAAAACACTTTCTCCAGGAAGTCTATCATAGCTTGTGCTCGATCACATCGCTCCCTCTCTCCTGCATCCCTGGCCTGGCGCTCCGGACGTTGCCATCGTACCCCTACTGTCCTTGAAGACGAAGCGGTCCCAGGATCTTCGTTGCTTCCGATATCTCTATCCCGTTCACTCAGCGATACCGATCCGAACATCTCTCCCATGGCTTCACGCTATGCAAGTCGTTAGATCCGTCCTCTTCCTTACACTCGCATACAACTCGAGGTCACACAAAAGTCGCTCTAGTCAAGACGTCGTTGAAGAGCATTACAAAGTGCTTCAATATTCACCATATCGCTACTTTCTATCCGAGCCTTTGATTCTTCATTAATGTATATGGTGCATTGTACGTCCTCTCCTTTGTCATGAAGCTCTCCTATCTGCGTCTTTCCCCGCATTCGAGCCAGTTTTCCACGTGCAGCAAGAATTCTCGCTATTCCCTCGGATATGGCGGCATCACTGCGATTGATCAGAACAATCCCGATGCCCGCAGCGATCACTCTATCGACTAGTAAAGCTAGGCTATCAGCCGCACTTTGGTCCTTTCTTCCCAGCTTAAGCTCTGCTCCGCGGGCTAGTCGAGAAGGCGAGTCAACTCGCTTCGGTGCTATCACAACTATCCCGTCGCACTCACCGACGATCGCCTCATCGACCTCCAGAATTGGCGAGTGTTTGATATCCCACACCATTTCCCAAATTGTCCATCTTCCCACTATGGACTTTGCTATCCCGACGTTATCCCTGATGTCATACTCGAGCTGATTTTGGGATACCCCCCGGCACGCGGGCATAGCTAAGATGGTTCCCGTTGCGTTCCCGAACTCCTCTTCACCGAAATGTGCGGTAATGTACATATCCCTTAACCACTCTCTTGCTTCATTGATGGCCTTGGTCATCATGTTGGCAGCCTGATACTCAGTAGGACAATTGACAAACGTGAACATGACTGCCTCGTAGAACTGGTTCAGCCTAGCTATGTCTATTCGTTGTGTTCTAGACAGGTACCTCATGCTCGGATTCTTGCCCGAGACAATCACTCTAACAGCCGCCTCATTGTCTTCTGCCACTATCAAGGGTTCTATACTCTCCTTCATCATCTCCCATAGTGCCAACCCCGGTATTCCCTGTTTCGTGATGCCATCGTGCAGGGCTACTATTTCAGCTTCAGGGGTACTTTTGGAGCACGACGTTTGCTTCTTACAGTAAGCAGCTATAGGAACGAAAGTGCGCGGTCCTGAAAGACAAAGATATACCCCCGACGTAGATCTATGGTCGTTCTTGTCGCTGGCAAGATCGGCGTCGCAGTAGTATAGTACAAGACGGATGTCTCCTATCCTATCCCCGACCCATCCGTAGAGGCTCGTTGTGGTCGTCTCGTTGATGTATGAGATCAGTCTATGCATTCTCTTGTCACAGAGATGTGTCCAGGTCGTCAGCCTCGACGCCAGAACCTGTACCGGTCGCAGTAGGTCATACCTTCCGACTCTGGCCCCATACAAGATCTTCATGAGTACCGCAGGGGCGTGCTCTTTCAACACTCCCGGCCCCTCATCCGGCAGCTCGTACTTGGCTATCCCCATAATTTCGTTCACCTTGTCGTCTACTTGGGTTCTCGTCGAACTCTGGGCGGCTCTCGTCGAGATATGGGGTCTTAGCTTTATCCAGTGGCTTAGGATATGCCGTCGAGCACAACTCTTGATATCTATCCACACACTGCTTCATGAAATCGGTAACATCATATCGAAGGATCCTGATCTCATCTGGACTATCTTCCTTCGCCTCGGCCTTCCCCACGAAATTAGGCGGTTCCTTCTTGGGCTCGATGATCTTCGTCCACTCGTGTCTCGGCTCAAACGGCGACCGAAAAGGTATCGCGCTAGCCGTGTGCAAGCATCCCAAGTATCTGCCCATACTTCGTGGCTCTTCGAGCTTGATTCTCTTCGCCAGCTTCTCCCATCCTATCGCTAAGTTCTCTTTGGGCCCCGCAAGCTTGAAGTCGTCGACGTAGATCACCAACATCAGCTTCAGCTCCTTATGGAAGAACACACTAGGCCAATCTGAGAGGAATTCGAAGCCGACCTCAGTCACGGCCTTTTCGCAGTGCTTTTCCCAGAACCCCCCGGCATCCGGATGCCCGTATAAAGCTAGCCTCAGTGGCACCACGGGGTCGTCTATGCCCTCCCATTCATCTGGCCACCTATCCCTCGGGATCCGTATCCATGTTTTAGGCCCCCCCAACAGCGCCTGCGTGTATGCCGACTCACCGTCCGACATCTCGATGTCGTGTCCTGGCAGCATCCCATAGGCATCCGCCATCTTGCCTGCCTCAAGTGTCGCGGGACATGATGTGATTTCCTGAAAGATGGCCCACTTTCCCTCCTGGTCTTTGACATGACATCCCTCAAACACAACTCTCCCCTTATACTTTCTAAGAGGATCGTCTTCAGCAAGCTCCCAGTTCTTTTCCACACAGATGTCAAAGATACGACCTACATGAGCTATTTCCCCTCTATCCATTGCCTCCCGTTGTACGTCCTTCCACGAACGCACCTCCTCCATTATCCAGACCACTTGATCCATCAGCTTTTTCCATTCTTTATCAAGCGCTGCCCGAGCCTTGGGGTTGATCGCCCTCTCAGCCTTCGTCACGGGTCTAGCGACAAGTCCGAAAACTTCCTCGATGTCCTCCTCTTCGTCCTCTATGATTGTGGCCATCAGTGGCTCACACTCTCCCACTGTCTCGTCGATGCTATCACACACTTCATTTTCCGCAACCTCTTCCCAACTATCCTCTTGATCTGCATCCACCTGTATAGCAGGGACTGCGACTATTCCATCTCCATACTCCTCGTCTTCAGTCTGATAACCCTGCCGGATCAAATTATCGACGGGTGTAGTATGCTTGTTCATGAAGCATGCGAAGCAAAGCGTCATCGACGTGAGGATCAAGCTAGGTACCTTGGCTTTTCCCTCCAACAGTCGTCGACATTCTCGGCACTTGTATGTCCTATTCGAGACATGCTTGATGCCGATTCGCCGCCTATCCTCATCTCTACTCCTCCTTGCTCTCAGCCCATGATCCACACTATCCCTGTCTCTTTCCCTCGCACGGGCCTCCCTTGCCCAGATTGCTTTCTTGCTCTCCCGATGTGCCCTACGATGTCTCACTTCCTTCACGTTCTCAGGCATCATGCACCCGCGCATCCTCGGCCGTAGACATACTCCCTTAGCGAATTCCATTCTCATGATTGGCCCCCCTCCTCCTCCAAACGTGATGGGAAAGCTATTTCTATTCTGTATAGCCACCAGGATCTCTCGCTCAGGTGATACCTCGTATCCTATGACGTCGCACATGGTTTCTGCCACAAGCTGCCCGAGCGCAGACACTCTTACACTGGTGCCAGGATCTTCCGGATACGCTATCCCAGTACGAACCCAGGTGTAACCTATCAGTGGAACATGGATGTCGTCCTTTAGTTCGAGGACTAGTGCGTTTCTCTCTGCCTCCCACATGACAATGTTGCATTCGCCCTTCTCCATAGTTTCGAGGTTAATGGTTTCGGCGTGTCCGGCCCTGAAGAATGCCTCATCCACCGGTTCCCGTTCCTCTTCCAAGTCTGACAGCGTCCATCCTTCCGAGTCAAACACATCGCTCTGGTCGTCGAATCCGGAGCTTTCCTCTCTATCTTGGTCGTGGCGCCGATCTGTGTCGCTGTTCTCCCTCTCCCCGATCAGCACTATTATCCATCCGTCGCCGTTCATGTCGCCCACCTCGAGCTCTTCTCCAGGGTAAGCTACTGCGGCCCCTCCGGTACTATGTCTGATGCGGCGACTGTTCTGCTTCGTCATCATAACCTTGCCTATGTCGTCGCCGTCAACCAGGATCACGCGCAGATCTTGTGTGTGTTTCGCTCGTGGTCCGAAGATCTCCCTCAATGCCTCTCGGCCAGGATTGTTCATAACTATGCATCTTTTCCATCTGATCTCCTCACGACTGATGTATGGTGCCCCATCCTCGGCCGCCGCAGCAGCATAGTTCCTTATCAGCGTCTGATCTTCTCTATCCGTAGCATATTCTTCGTGCTCGTCGTCCCCCTCCATGTCTATCACCCAATATGAGTTTCCTCCGTTCATTCTTCTCTTGGCTATCTTCAACAGCTTTTCTAGTGATCCCCCAGTCTCGTCGCCTCTAATCGTTCCCTTTTCCAGCTGTGCCAAGGAGTCCACGTCCAGTGTCATCATACCACTGCTATATCCGAGATAGTCTCCCTCGTGTTCTTCACATGCCATCGACACCGAATCACCCTCTTCCTCGCCGCAGATGTCTATCACGTCCCTTAACACCTTGATCATTTCGCGTATCGCTTTACCCTCCTGCTCTCGCCGTACGTCTATTTTCGCGTCCGAAGTCCTCACTATGCGCGACATCAAGTCATGATCCCTTGGCATGTGATCGCATGCTAACATGTCCGCCGCGATCGCATTCATCATGCATTGTGTGACGACTCCTATGTAACACGACGCGTCTACCCCGTCATGCATACCCAGCATGCACCCATCACTCCGCACTATCCACATGTCCCATGCAAGCGCCATTCGAACAATGGTCTCGTCAGCCATTCGACTTTTACCGCCTATCCAGATGATCGTGGCCACTATTCCTCTGCTGTTGGCGTCCGTGATAACCTTTTCTACATTGCCAAACACTCTTTCTCGAGCCTCTCGCGTACTATCTAGGCCTTCCTCACGTCTCCACCCGGATGCCTTCCGATCAACCTCTGTCCTCATGCCGTCGCTAGACGCATCGATAGCAATGACCACATCCGTCACACCCTCTCCTATCACGCATCCTTCCCCCGATATCCAAGATACGTTCTCACCTCCGTTACCCCCGATCTCTTCTAATCCGACCCCCATGATCTGCACTTTAGGCTGTTCGCCCAACTCCCTCATCATTTCCCCAACGATGTTGTCGGACGGCGTTCGCGCTATTCCAGCTGTGCTGCACAATTGGTTGATGGTTTTTGTAACCTCCTCAGTATCCCCCATCCTGGACGCCGGTGCAGCAGGTTCTGCTGATTCTCCTCTATCCCTGATTCGTCGGTCTTCTCCTCCGTCGGGGATGTACCAGAACTCCGTGATGATGTCCCTGGGCACAACGAATCGGTATCTCCCTCTATTGCGCATCATCTCTGCCTGTATACAAGAGTCGTACTCAATGGATTCTAAGACCTCTCCAGTATTAGCGCTCCGAGTGACCCTCCACCAGAGCTCAAGCCGTCTTTTGTCCCTTCCGCCATAGAATCGGTAGGATGTGGCGCGATTGTTTCTTACTGCCCATACTCGGCCACCCTCAGGCATTCCCGGTGGGGGATCCCATCGGTACTCCGGCGGTGAGAATTCCTGGCCATGGTCGGTGATTTTCTCCATCCATTCTCGAACTCCAATTTCTGCGGGACGCGGTCCTATTTCCTCTTGCCCTCGAACGGCCGAAGGGGGCCTCTCTCCTCTGATGATCCTCTCTTTGTCTCCCTCGATATAACGTAGTCGCTGTCCCGGGCTCATCCTATTCCACTCTGCTGACGAAATGGAGTTGGGTTTGTGAGATCTCGCGTACGGCCGCTCTATTCTGGGCATGTCTTGTTCGTAGTCTAAACCCACCCCCCGTATACCCGTCGCCTTCTCTCCCCGCGCCCGCTCCTTGGCTTCATCATCTATCTCTCCCTCAGGCTCCCCCTTTTCCCAGAACGTAGTGCACCCCGTCCATTTCTTGGTGATCTTCTTCTTGCCCTTCATTCTATCCTCATCCAGCACCTCCGATGTACCATCGGCGTACACTATCCACGTTCGCCTCCTTGGACCCAGCTCTCTATCCCCGGGGCCACCTGTACCTTTGACCTCCTCGCCTGGGGTACACAGCTCCTTTCGGGGTAAGATGTGATGAAGCGTCCACGAATGGTCTATCTCATCATGTTCCCAGAAATCCCCGTTTTGAAGATGCTGATCGTCGCACTTAATTTGTCTCATCACATCGGCTCGTACCCTTCTCTCCTCTGCGAAGATTTCCTCCGTCTCCTCTCCTTGCTGCCCCTCTCTCTCCAGTTCCAATCTGGCCAGGGCATCAGCTCGAGTCGCTGTCATGATTCTCGACTTCCTATCAGCCACAGCTTGCATCGGGAAGTAGTTGGGCATCTCCTCGTCAAGTACTATCCTCTTCACGCGGTGTATCGACGGTACCGTCCATCCGTGATACAGGTGCGCCAGCTCAACCACTATATAGTCTCCGCTCGGAACACCCCCTGGTTGGAGCGCGTAACCTAGGAACAATCCGGGTGATGTCGGAGTGTCGAACTTCGCCTTGGATGCCATGGCATACGCTTGCTCTTCCTCGGCGTCGTGATCTACATATTCTTCCCCATCCCCACCATCGTCTGCACACGCTGCCTGGCATAAGCCATCCGCTAATGTCGCAAAGTGCTCATCCAATCTGAAGCCCAGCCTCATCAACTTCCACTTGTCGTCCACAGATGCCTTTTTACCCGCTGCCAGGGTATATCCCACCGCTATCACTCTATCCTCCGGCGCCAAGGCATCTTCGGTAGCATGCCAAACTCTTGGATTGAACTTTAGCCCACTATCCACCTTCCGAGTCCTTCCCCATATCCATTTTCCCGGAAGCACCTCTTTCTCTATCCCGGCGGCCTTGCCACCCTCACTCGCACACTGTTCCTCTTCTGTCCAGATCATAGCTTCGCCCGCCCTCTCGCTTACCGGTACAACAAAGTTGTATGTCTGGCTCTCGTTAAACTTGTCCTTGTGAGGCCCCATCCTGGTTCCGACAGACACAATCACCGTTGTAAAAGTAGCTTCTGGGAAGCATTTTGCTATCAGCTCGCAGCACACCATGGCTATCCCCGGATACTCTTTGGCACTATTCGTAACGCCGACCTTTCCTCCGTACGCATACAGCCCCAGGACTATGAACCCTCTACCGGTGGCCATGCTCCGCGAATTCTTCGCTATTCCTTTTTCTACCGAAGTGAACTTCAGGATGATGTCCTTTGCATGCTGCACATCAAAGTCCTGCGTCATGACCATGTCGAGCGCACGTCTATCGATCTCTCTCAGCTCTTCCTCCCTTTGCAAGCGTTGTTCTTTAGTTTCCTTCGTTTCAGAGGGCAAGGCCATGCTCGAAACATCTTCATCAGCTCCGAGAATCTCAAGAGCGTCATTTTCAGGATCCCCCCGTTCGAGCAGGGCCGCGTCCTCTTTGCCAGCTTTTCTAGGCTTTTCGGCAATGGGGAGGTAGTTAACAAGTGCCCCGAAAGGAATCAGTTTCACTTTGTCTTGCTCGTTGCCATGTCTTTTCCCGTACGGGCTTACCCCGTCCACTTGTTGTACGTTCCTATGGAAGCAGAACGTCTGCACAGCGTACGGCCACCACTTCGGTTCTAGTCCTGCTTGTCTCAGCAATACTCTGCCACCGTAGATTACTTCTTTGACCTTGAGCTCCGCTATGCTATTCGTTCGGGGTAATCCGGGTGTAGAAGTCGCCCTGCAAGTTCCTATGACGTCGCAGGCTTTTGAGAATTCACCGGCTCCGTCTGCGTACAGATGCACTACCATATCTGGGCCTCGGAACTCATTGATAGCTCGCACAAACTCATCCGTTCCCCTGGACTTTACGGGCGTGCAGTGTATCCACTGTGTCTTGAAGTCGAACATCACGATTGCATTGTTTTCTCCGCGGATTCCCTTGTCTTTGTTGCTGCGAAGAACTATCGTGTCAGCAGTGACCCTCTCCCCGAACTTCTCGGCGCCCTTGTCTGTGATGCCTTCGCCCCTGTTGAAAGGGACGTTTATTGCTTTGCCTTGTCGACAAGCAACGCAGTGCATGTTCTTTGGGAGATGCGTGAGCAAATGTTCCGTCGATTTTGCATACTCCGGTGAGTATCTTGCTCTCCGGATGCTCACAGTTTTGCTCGACCCTATCCCTTCGCCAATTCTATCCGCAACTCGAACCTGATCCGCAGGTCCGTCTTCTGCCTTTGCTTGTTCCACTTCTCCCATGTCACCGGCGCTATCATCCTTCTGAGGCTCTCCCACTCCTCTTCTAGCCTGTTCTTCATCGGCTATTCCTGGCAAATCTATATCATCATCCAATTCGCCTCCGTTTTCGGCGCTTTCTTCCTCGCCGGGTACAGCGACGACTTGCTCCGCGATCCTTAGGTCGTCATCCTTACTCTTCTTCATTCCGTGGATGAGCTGAAACTCCGCATCCGTCATATTGCGTGCGCTTTGCCCCGCCTCAATCTGCTCAGGACTCAAAGCTCTTTCACAAAAACCGCATACCCCGGATGAATCGGCCTTACACGCGGCGCAGTAGAACGTCGTTCTCAGTCGACCGTCACCATCGTCTTGTTCTGTCGTTGTCTCCCTATTCCTCGCGTCTATCCCCTTTTCGACCACTGATGAAATTCGGTGGTGCTTACGCATAGTCTCCTTGATGGCTCGCACTAATCCCGGTGCCCACTCCGACCAGTTTTGTGACTCGCTCATCTCGCCCTTGCTTCTATCACTGCTATCATTCGTCGCTCCAGTCCCTGGTCCTCTAAGATTGACCGCCCATCCTATCAACTCTGCGTCAGTCGCTATCGTTGTCGGCTTTTTCCTAGAGTGTCCCATCGGTCCCTGATCAAAACTGAACAGCTTCGTTCCTAGGATGGCACTCGTCCTATCCCATTCTTCTGTCGCCCACAATGATGCGTATCCCCCTTCTGGCGTATCATCCCAATACGTCTCGGGGTCCTGGGGCTGCTCAATGAGACACATCGTTGGGGCTCTCAATCGTCGGTGACGTGCCTTTCCTATCACCACAAGCATGCACACGCGCAGTATGATGATATCGTCGTCACGGCATTCCTGCTTCTGTGCCCAACTGATAAATGAGTATCCCCACCTCTCCGGTCCATTCCTCGACCTAAGCGGAATCGGACCAGGCCTTCTGTATCTCATCACGGACCTCGTTCTGCAAGGCGGTCCGGCTAGCCAGCAAAAAACCAAATTGGTTGTGGCCAGCTTCACTAGCCACCACCATGTATCAGATCGCAGCACGTTCTCCTCCATGTCGATGTCTATCACACTCATTCCTAATTCACTTGCGATGTCATCAAACTTTCCCCTTGACTTTCCACAACAAATGTGCACAATAACCCTTCTGCTCCCTTCAATCGCTTTCCTTATCTTCATGATTTCAGGTCTCGTTTCTCCCTGGGGTTTATGCGCCTTTCCGCCGTCGAGTATCTCTTGAGGAGCAAGTGGCCATAAACACCTTGCTATCTCGACTAGCGTCTCTGCCTCGCCACCGGTACCGATGTTCTTGTCCAGCATCATCATCAAGTCATCTAGCCCCGCGTTTTCGTCCGCAGCCATTCTATTCAAGATATGTTTTCTCACCTTCGCGCTATCGCTCTGCACCGCTTCTCCTGCATCCGCTCCTTCGAATGTGAGCCCTTCTATCTTGAACATGGTCTTGCCTGTCCATAAGTCCTTCTCCGCGTCTCTACTCTCTCCCTCATTGCACTTATCCACCCAGTCTATCCATTCCGCCACGGTTTTTCCACCTTCGTACACACGTTTGGATCTACACCGCTCGGCGAATCGCGGTACAAGTGCATGTATCTCTGGGAATTTCAGTGTCTCAAACCACGGATCGCAAGTCTTCGTTCTTGGTTTGTTGTGGAAACACACCGCCTTATTACCTGTTAACATCCACTTGTCCAGCAGCCTCCCATCGTCGTTTGTGACCTTTCCTATCGGTTCCTCCTCGGTGTCTCTATCCGTGTCCGAGTCCACGCTTTTGGGGCTACATTCTTCCTGTTTTTCTTCGATTTTCCTCGGACTGGAATTTCCTCGCACAGGTAGTTCAATTGCAAGAGGCGCTGGCATCGCAGGATAGATGTGATAGTCACTTCGCTCATTCTCGCTAACGACCGTTGATGTTCTATCCACCATGTAGGGAATATCCCCGATGACTTTTAGCACTATCAGGCTCGAGTCAGGTTTGACGAACACGGGGTTAGCACCCGCCAGCCAATGAAATGAATATCCCATTTTCATACATCTCCTCCCCATCGACAGAACAGCGGGAGTACTCTCGAGCATTCTAATCCTCATTGTCTCAGGCATCCCTTGTATATCCATGCAGATCTCTTGCTTTGACGTGGTGTTGCCGTTGGCGGTGTTGAACCTCACTTTCTTCGCCTCAATGGCCATATCTTTTTCGTCCTGGGTGAGGTCTGCTTCTGCTATGAGATCCATAGCGCATCCCGAGTCTATCATCCATCGTCTCATTACCGGTGGCAAGCAATGCTGTGCTGATGCCGCCGGCTGACTATCCTCTCGACTATCCACGCGGAACCTCTCGTCGACTATACCTATTCTCCTGCATTCCTCCACTATCCTGTCAGCCAATCTTGATGCATCCTTACCTTCCTCGCCTTGCTCCCCGGCTAGTATGTCCAGCACGACCTCTTCGGCCAGAGATATCCCGCGCAGCCTTGCCTTTGCCTCTTCAATCACGGGATATCGTTTCACATCATGTTCATACCCCTTCTTGTGTACGTTTTTGCATTTTCGTACCATCTTGTCGGCTGTGTGTCCTTTCCAATAGCATATATCCAGTCCTGCTATCCCCGTCTCTTCGGAGCCCAACCCCTTGACTCGCCTATTACCCTTCCTCACTCGCTCCCTGCCTGTCGTTGTCACCAGTATTCCCCTAAGCGTGCCTTCGGCGCTATCATCCCCTTGTCGTACCACAGGCATGGCCGCAAATACCTGACTATCATCGCTGGCCTGTGGGTTTCGGCCCGCCCCTAGCGAAAACTCGGCCCTTCACCATCAGCATGTGGACTCGATGGCCTCGTCTCCTTCTGTTCTATCTCTACTGTCTCAAATGCCTCCCTAATGCTATTCGGGATAGCCTCATGGAGCATTTTGCACTTGTCATTTCTACAGCTGCCATACCGAAAATGCTCAAAGCAGTATCCCGCCTTCTTGAGGACCTCTTCCGCCTGACTATACAGATAGATATCGTGCGAATGCTTGCAGTCCGCCGCAGTCATTGGGCAAGTTCCACGCGTATAGGGGTAGCAGACCCCTCTTTTTCCAAACGGCGACTTGGATCCATATCTGTTCTTCGGGTCATCGGCTCTCCCCGCCTGCGAAAGTCCGTCCCTGCCTCTTCCCACAGATATCCCTCTTCCGTAGCTATTTCCCCCTGCGGGCGATGAACTCCTCGGTCTATCATCAGCGTACGCGCTTCTTCTATTCACCGGTGCTCTATAGGATCCCTGCTGAGCCGGCATCGCAGCATATCCAGTCGTGAACGCCTGTCGGCTCACCCGCATTGAGGCCTCGTCTATGTTCTTGTCCGCTCTCCACATCTCCAGTCTATCCTTGATTCTCTTTCGCAACCAGGTGTGCGTCTTGGCCTCGTCCGGAAGCAATCTCCATGCCTCAATATCGTGGTTCAGCACCTGAACTCTCTGCACCTTCGAATGCAACATCCATCCCAGCTGTTGCTCGCTCCAGGTATTGCCTTTCAGCCCTACAAGGTTCGTGTGCGCCAGATCCCATCTAGTCATGAACTCCTCCAGTGCCTCCTCTTCGGGCTTCCCCGGGAAATGCATAACCTTCGTGCTGCTCAGACCATCGTACAGCACCTGACTCTCTTTAGCTATCGGGATCTCAACATGCTTTACTATCAGCGTAAGCAATCTCATGGCCGTCATCGGTTTTCCATCTCCCACTTGCTGAGTCTTGTACATCTCCATCTTCACCTTCGCTGACAATGACTCTGACTTTATTGCTCTCTTCAATCCGCTAAACAGCTGGTTCTCTAGCGCAGGGTACTTGAGTTCCATGTCTATCATCGCTTCGCTCCTTTCGCGTACCTTCAGTACCTGCGTGTATGCATAGTCCCCATCATACAGATACGCAGCCTTCGCGGTATGTGCCACATCGCCCAGCCACAGTCCTACTTCTCCGGATGATGGCTCCTTCGCTATCGATATCTCGTTGCATTTCTCCATCCCTCTGGTGTCCTTAAACTTGCTGTATCCCCCTCCTACCGGATTCCTGAATCTGGCATCGTCCCCCTCATGATCGCGTCCACTCTGCGGCCTCGGAAGTCCTGTCCCTGCATACCCTCCGGCATCGCATCCCCTTCTATCAGTGGAGCACAGCATGCACAAGTCGTCATGGTACTCATAGCAATTACCACACACTTCTCTTCCGCAGCCATGGCATGCAATCATCATTTCTGCTTGTCTAACACACACGGGGCACCTTCTAATCCTAGTCTCTTCCCCCAACAGACCTCCATCACCTTGTCTATCCTTTCTTCCATGCTCTCTTCTATCCCCAAACGAACTTGGCGCAGGCGTGGCACCGGCACTTGGTCTTGCGGAGCCAGCGTTCGAAGCACCTCCCGCAGCCGGCGCCGGCATGGCGTATTCGGAGCTCTGCTTGGCGATCTCACCGATTCTATTCCACATGCTATCCAGCTCTGCTTTAATGCTATCGTTTCGTTTCACCTGCTCCAGTCTCCGTTCATACTCTCGTACCGTTGCCTCCAACTGCTCGTTCTTCTCTTTGAGTTCAAGCATTTCTCTACTACGAAGATCGAGATCCGCTCTCATTTTAGATACCTCATCTCTATTATCCCGAATCATCCGCGCTACCGACTCTGTCACTCCTTTGTTCTCCCCCTTCATGCTTTCTATCTCACTGAGCAGGCTAGCGTTCTCCCTCACGATCCGCTCATTCACAGTGGTCAACCCCTGCAATTGACTAGTGATCTTGGTCACCTGCTGTTCTAACACAATGCATCTATTCTCAATCCTTCGATCTACCACAGGACCTGCCGACTCCGGCCTCGAAGCCTCTATTCCTCGGGCGTTGTCGCTCCTGGCTCTTCCGTCGGCTCCCCCACTCCCACCGTGACTATCTCGTCCGCGTGACATGGTCGGTGGCTTTCCTATCTCTGCACTGTTTCCTCGCATCTTGCCTACCCCTTCGTTCCGTGCGCTCTCATCAATTCGAGCATTGACAAGGATAAATTCGCCCGTGACTCTCTTCTGCTCATCTATCATACGGCTCGACATTGACTCCATTGTCTTTTCCATCTTTCGCACGGTATCCTTCACCCAGGCCTGTTCTCCGTTTCTCTTCTCATCCATCCGATCGGTCCTTGCCGCGACATTCTCGCAAGTCTTGTGAACCTTTGTCATGTTCGCCACAATCTCAGCCACGCTTTTGCGGTTCTTTATCACCTCTCTCGCGACGGTCATTATGTGTTCCTTCTGCGCCAGAACCACTTCACTCAGCTTCTTGGTTTCGCCCCGCACTGCCCCATCTATGCACGTGCCGTGACCCTCGCCAGGTTCTCTGCATCCGCATCCAGGACCTTTTCCTTGGCTGTTGCAATGGGACGACGATGCCGTATCTGTTCCGGCTTTCTGGCTCCCCTTGGACTTCAGCTTCCTTAGTTCCTCGCCCGCTATCTTGATCTGGTCCCATTGTCTATTCAAAACCGTCTCTACTTTATCCAGTCTCTCGTTCTTCCATGTTCCATTCTCGTGTCGCATTTGCATGCTCGAGAAGACTACACCTATGCCACGTCTCACCTCGTTCAATCCTGTCTCTAACGTGGTGATCTTCGTCCCGGTACTCTGTTTGGCTATGTCCGCTGAATGCTCCGCTGTGGACAATCGCTCCTCCACTCCCTTCAATCTAGTCGTAACAGAGGTCTTGAGCACCTTCACGTTGTCAACCTGCCGTCTCATTCTCCGTGCGAGCTGCATTGCTCCCTCGGTCAGTTGCGGAGCCATTGCATCATCCATCCTATCCTCGCTGACGCTCCCGTCCATGATCCGACTCATCTCTTTCAGCTCCTGCGACAGTGTTGTCTTGGTATCTATCTGCTGCGATTCTATCCAACCTTTCCAGTGCTTCACCTCCTCCTCGCATTCCACCAATCTCTTGCTCACGACGTCCGCCTTTTCCCCTGAACTATTAGCAATTGCACTTGCACATTCACTTGCCACTTTAAGCTTGGCTACGTCGGTCTGCGTGTCCACAACCACCGTCTGTAAATCATCTATCCTGCCGTCTATCTCTCCTAACGAAGACTTGTCCGGATCGGCAGGAGTTCTCACCTTTGCCCGCCTAGGTGGGGATGATGTTGCCCTCATCTCATCGTTCCTGCCTCGTCCTTCAGGAGGAGTATTGATCCCGAAGTGCTCGTATTGCCCACCTATCCCAGGGGATCGTGGGGCCGGGGATCGATTGCCCCATCCCTCGCTACCCTGATCCGGGGTGATCATTCCTGCCTGATGGATCGGTCCCCCAATTTCTGTCGATTTCGACTTCTTGGCTGCGGGGACGCTCTCGGCTATCTGGTTCATCTCCTTAACGGCCTGCTCCGCTCGTTGCTTACGCAGTCCCTCATCCATCTTGCCTATCTTGCTGGTGGTACCAACTCCATTTTCCGATCCACCCGGGCTATCCCTCTTCAATGATGTAGATCGACCACCTGAGTGTCCACTATCCGACCCCATCGACATCTTTCGTGACCTGTCTTTCTCTACCCCTGCGATCTCGGCACCATATATCCCAGCGTTCCACCGTTCCTGCGAATCCGATTGCATCGTCATGGGCGTTGATCCAGGCTCTCCTGGTCCCTGATCTGTGAAGAACTTCGCAAAGTCCACGTCAGTGATGACCCCCGCTTCCTCGAGAGTACTCCTGATCCCATGTGATCCCCACTCTATTCCGATCGTCGTAGTCTGGTCCATCCCCACATCTTTCAACGCTTCAACGTTCCCGCCTGGCGATGCCTCCGAGAGACCTGTAGATGAAAATACAGACAGCGCTTTATCATCGCTCTCATTGATCGCGTTCTGCGCTACTGCTGAAGATCCCTTAGCTATCAGCTCCAGATCTGTAGGATCGGCACCGACATTCCCAATCGTGGTTGCGCTATTCGAATACACTCCTGGAACGAGATCATCTCCATTCCCTCTGCCCATCCAATGTCCGCTATCCGCACTTCTCGTGCGATCGCCTTCAGCACCGAGCTCGCCACTGTTCATCATCGCATCTATTCCATCATCATTCCTCCTGATCGTCCTATCGTGATCTGACGATGATGACACGGCAAGGCTATCCACTCTATCCTCGATCGCCATTTCTATCCTGGAACCGGTGATTCCCTTGGCACCTCCCGTTGACTCGTAATCCGTTCCGTGGAACACAGTCTCGGAGGGGATGATGAACGGTCCCTCCTCCAGCCTTCCACCTATTCCAGCCAGATCCTCGATAGCAAGCGTCGGAGTCCTAGCGTTTCCCGCTTCTATCCCACCTCTTCCAGCCCTATACTCATTTAAATCTGTAGCTCCTACGACTGGATCGAATACAACAGGACGGCTTGCAAGCATGCTGAGCTGCATCACGGCATCCCCTCTGTCCGCTATCGACGGGATTGCGAGCAACTCCTGCAATCCTTCGCCTGCGTCCCTCCCCTGAGCGCCCGACGTGTCCGCTATTCCGGCATAGCCCAGTCCTCCCGACCTCCCCACACTATCCATCGCCGCCACGATCTCCGAGTTTCTATCCGTCAGTCCTGGGGGTGGTCCTGACACTAACATACTATCCGCAGCACTCGACCTAACGTCTACAGTAAGCGGTCCTGAGAAACTGAGGCCGAGGCGATCTCTATCAGCACTGCTATCCATCTCCATTCCTGTCCTTCCACTATTCCGTCCGTCGTCGATGAAATTCACGTTCTCGGCGTCGGCTATGCTTCTCACATGACTATCGGCAGCGGCCACATCCTGATTGACCGCAGTGACCTGGTCCTCGAGAAATCTATTCCCTACTCCCAATACATCACTATCGCTAGACTCACTGCTCCCAATGCTATCACGTGTGGACATTGCTGCAGTCAATGAACACAAGTGACAAATGCGGAAAACTTCGCTATGCAAGTGGTACCTCTTCGCTATACCAAGAAAACTTCTCGAACAGCTCGTCCAGGCCAAGCAACAAGGCTCTTAACCTGTGCGAAGTGTCCAAACCAATGAAAACTTGCGCAACCCGTTCCAGTAACTAGCTCAGGCCACACGAGGAGAAAGAAGTTGTATATTTACAGTTGTAGGTTGTAATGTTGCACCAGAAGTAACAGTATCCCTGTCAACGGGGAACTCAAGGTAGCTAGCCAATCGTTCCGAGCCACTCCCGACGTTAACTATCGGAAGGATCCCCAGAGTTGCTATCTCCAGGGGGTGGTAACCTATCGCTCTAGATGTATCCACTAGCCGTCCGGCTGCGTGTTGTACACCTATCCCGATATTCACCTGAACAGCCACCTGCCCTCAGTATCCTCCGGCCTCCGGCTATGAGTTGTAAAGAGAACAGATAACTATCCCAAGGTTAGGGAAAAGGATCTATTCCTCGTCAACGCCCGACCCTTTTGGCTCCTCTTTCCTCCGGATGTGAGTTGGCCAATCAAGTCCACGACGTACAGGAACACTATCCACGGGGGCGAAAACTGTACAATACTGGCTGCTACAGTACTAAGAAGGGCCCTTCTTGAGCAGCTCTCGGCTGCAGGCGGACACGAAATCTTTTCTATCCCATCTCGTCCTCGACGATGGCGGTGCACTATCCAATGTCCTGCCTCAAGAATGGGTCCGAACCCGAAATACATGTACAAGTCAAACTAGCACCCCATGGAATTGACCTGACCTCTTTGTGCTAAACACCCCATAACCCCCCCCCCCCCAAAAAAAAAGAGAAAACAACCTGTAAACCCTAAATCCTAAAGCAACAATTTCTGATACATTAGCTGTCCACACCTCCTCTTCCTCCGCCTCCTGGAGCAGACGCAGTTGCTCCTGCTTCTGCCTGTCCTTAGCTACAGTTTCTTTATGCGAGCTGCAGAGGTTTAGGTTTTAGGTTTAGGGTTTAGGGTTTCGGAGAACTACGTAAGTGTCTGTGAAACTTTAAATTGGCTTACGTGGCCTGATGAACCAGAGACCGAGTTCAGGGCTTGCAATACAGTCATCTGGGTACTCGTACCCTTAGTAACGCCGCCAAAAAAACAAAACAAAAAGGGTACCCCAGATTTCAGAAACTCGTCATAGAAAGGTGTATATATATATATGTTTATATTGAATACATTTATACCCTTTTCTCATTGATTTTTTCTAGAAAGACATATACACATATACAGATACATATATATATGTATGTATATATACATATATATATATATATACATTCCTCATCATCCCTCTATATGTATTAAAGCCAGTGTGGGGAGATCGAAGAGTCCCACTCTTTCAGGTCCTCCTGCGTGTCGAGGCGGTCCCTTTGCCGCACGAGGACCGTGCATGCCACGATGACCACCAGCGCGCCCATGCCTGCAGGGGTTTAGGGTTTAGGGCTTTAGGGCTTTAGGGTTTAGGGATGCCTGCAGGGGTTTAGGGTTTAGGGTAGGGGTTTCCCGCGCTGCTCAAGAAGCCATGAAACGAAACATACTTGAAGCTTATGACCCTAAACTCTTCTTACATCAAGATCTCAACCCGAAAAAAGCCCACCCTCCGCCCAAGAAAACCAAAGTGCCAGCTGCCTGTCACCAGAACTCCCGCCACAGCGGTTCCCTCCTGCACGGCTTAGGGGGGCTGTGGGTTTCCCAAGGAGGATTTAGGGTTTAGGGGCTAGGGCCGTTAGGGGACTGCTGTAGCTGAAGCTTGGGGCTGGGTGGGGGGTTCCAACTTAAAAGGTTCGAGAACATGCTGCGGCCGTGCGCCCGTCCTTGTCCCAATCGAGCACAGCGTGCATGGGGCAGATGATGCAGTCACAGTTGCCGCCGTAACACTGCGTCCGAATGCCGATGCGCCAGCGGTGGTCGATGTAGGTCCACACCAGGTAAAGGGCCGCGTAAATTGAGAGCCAGCCGCCATGCTGCCATGAAAAGGGCACGCGGCTGACAAACAGACTGACCAGAAGCAACACGCAGTTCACGAATTGAGCGTAGATCTCGAGGTAGCCTGGAGATTGCTTTAAGTCCCAAATAGGGTTCATGAAGGCCCAGTGAACCAGGACCACCGCCAGCGAAAGGGGGACGGAGAGGGAGGTGATGGCCATGGCTGTCCGCACCAGGCACGGAACCGAAGTCGCACTCTCGTCCAGTTCTTGGGCCTTGTCCTTCCCAGTAAGTGACAGGTACCACAACAAGCACATGTCTAAGGTCTGCAGGATCAGAGACTGCCGGGTGAAGTAGATGAAGTAGAAGCCCTCTTCACCTGGGCTTTAAATTTGGCTTGGAGGCTTGGGATTCAAGATGGGGGGTCTTCGGTTGACATTGAAACTGACGCCAGCTAGACAAGACCGCCTCCGGTGTTTTTTTTTGCCACCTGCCTGGCAGCCTGGCAACCACGTTTGGGGTTTAGTTTAGGTTTAGGGTTTAGGGTTTAGGGTTTAGGGTTTAGGGGTTAGGGTTTAGGGTTTAGGGTTTTGCCGAAAGCAAGCCAAGTGGCCATCGATCCATGCACCCTGCACCATGTGCCAGACGGTGTGCACGAGGAAGATGGCTGCCCAGGCCATCCGAAACCACCTCAGTTAGGGTTTAGGGGTTTAGGGTTTAGGGGTTTAGGGTTTAGGGTTTAGGGTTTTTTTTGCCACCCGCACTGCGCGGGTTTAGAGTTTATGGTTTAGGATCTAGAATCTAGGGTTTAGGGTAGAGGCTACGAATCCCCAGGCCACACAGCCCAGGATTCCAGGATGGGCTATTCGGCCCCGAAAAATCCCCAAGTTCAACCCTATAAGGGTTTGGGGTTTAGGGTTTGGGGTTTAGGGTTTAAGGTATAAAAAAGCCCATGCTGGACATCGCACTAATGTCCTACGAAGCGATCTACGAACGCAGGGTTCAGATTCCATGTGAGATCTGTCCTGCCTCGTGGCTCCCCTTACTATACTAACTGTAGTGAAGGGACTTCTAACTGAATTTAGGAAATTTAGGGCTCTTGTAACTCTACTTATAGCTAGGGGGCCCCTCCTTGTAGCGTAGACTGAGGCAGTGGCATGTAGTGCTTGGGCGTGAGAAATCTTGATGTTGCGAAGACTCGTGGCCACTCCTGCTCTGGAAGGGACTTCGCCGGTTTGGAAGGTTTACGGTCGTCATTCGACGCCAGGGCTACTGTTGGAGAAGGCTGTCGATGTTTCTGCACTGTTCATTTGTGCGCTTTAGAAATCAGGTTGGTTCCAGGGCAGCTCTTACGATGATTCCATAAACCAATGAGTGCATGGCAACATCAATCGCAAAATAGAGAACTAGGTAAACGCACATATATATATATATATGTAGCTGCAACGTGTTTTCGACAGGGTCGGAGTGAGTAAGAGGGAGAAGGGGCCTTGTAAGGGAACATGGAGCTTTCCGAAAATAGGGGTACCCTGTCTGGGGGGCCGCCTTAAGGGGATTCCATTCCATATGGGGGCATAAAAAAGGGGTAGGCCCTATGTTGGGAAAAGCCCACATAGCGTGAAATCGCACATCCTGACAATTCCACCCCCCCCCCCCCCATCCACCGGATCTTCCATCTCACTGAACATCAACCAGATTTCAATCCCATACACCTGCTCAGAGTGCTTACTTGCAATCGGAATCCCCAAGCGCTCCATGCTTGCCTTAAGAACCCCAAATGAAAAATGTCGGGGTCTTCTAGAATCCCATGAAGGATTCTTTGGTAGCAGAACATCACCTACAACACCGCAGGTCTGGGGGCTCTGATATCAAGGTCATGCGTGCGGGCACATCTCAAATTTGAAGTCATCTTTTGTGTCCGATATTCTAGCATGGCACCCTCCAGGACCCCAAATTACGGTGTATAGGGTTTAGGGTTTAGGGTTTAGGGGAAAGGGACCCCAGAATAGGAGAACCACCCCAGGTATGCGAGCCCCGATTCCGCGGAAGTCGTCCTCCGGAGCCCATGGCTCGATCGAACTGGTGCAGCCCATGGCGCGGACGGGGAGGCTGCCCCCACCTGGCCCTGGTGACCCGCAGCCCTTCTGGGTTTTTCGCCACGCCCCTTTAGGGTTTACAGGGTTTAAAACTGCCGTTCCCCGACCCTAGGAATGTTTACATACCCTGAGCCCCTAACTCTAGTTGGAGTCGACACGACTCACGGTGCAATGAAGGACAGCTTCTCGTGAATAGGAGGAATCTCCACGGGCAGGGTCCACTGGTCTCGCAGTCCCCGCTTAAAAAGCTACGACCAGCACAGGCAAACGTGTCACAGGTCAGCATGGATGCTCAGCATGGGTACCAACCACTGCACCGTTGTCAAGCTGGTGTGCCGATCCTTCCCACATGGAAAAAAGTACACCATCCCATACTGGATCAAACCTCTCGCGAAACCTAACTGAACTCCGCCATATCTCCAGCCTTGATTGAACCTTAAATCTCAATTTGTGGGTTCAAGGTCTAAGGGGTTGAGTTTCGGGACTTGGGCAACGCGCAAACTGAACTGCGGTTGCACTCCGTGCCTGGCCATCTCTGTCGAACCAGTCGACCAGGAAAGTGCCATCTTCGCCTGACACCGCATGCATGTACACTTTGGCAAAATATATGCATTTGGAGACTTCTGTGCATCGTGGGCCATCGTTTGGATTGCCACTAGAGAGTGTGTCATTCTATTCCTTCAGTTTGCCCCTAGGCTGGGCTTTTAACATCCTCTCAGTGGTGGTCGCTTGTTGTTGTTAGCGTCAAGGGCAGGAACCCCGCCACCACCCCAAACAAAGGATAGCTTCCAGAACTGACCATCTAGGGGCCTTGTAGGCCCACTGCACCCTCTGAAAAAACCTAAACATTACCCTCTTGAACCCCATGAGGGAAAATATCCCAAGACCCGACCTCTACTTCTTTGGAGCCTCCCAAGAACTCAAAAGAAGAGACCCGAGTGGCAAACAGCCGCCACAGTGGCGCGATACCACGATCCGCTCTTGGCCTTCGCGGCACTTGCTGGCGCAACCCAGGAAGTTGGATGCACACGGGTGCGGATGTACCCTTTTGAGGGTCCCTTTAAGGGGATTCTCTTCTACTCCGGGCATAAAAGGAGTACTTCTACTTGGGGAAATACCCGTACGGTACCATGCGAAGACACGCCAACGAAGAGCGCATGTTGCCGTGGGCCGATGTGGCTGGCCTATCTTTGCCAGGATTAGTACGACATGCGAGGTGGTGTTGCAGCCTGTGTCCACAGGGAGGCAGAACAGCTCTGAGAACCCTAGCGAACGATTTCGAAGGGACCACTTGTGCGCCTCAACCTCGTCGCCGACGGCGGGCCACCTCTGCAAGCTAGGCATGTACAATAAGCTGCGGGAACAGCTTTTTGGCCAGCAAATCTGCAAGCTCGTACTTTTTGAGGCCCCGCTAACTCGCGCTGGCACAATCCATGTCACAAGACCTTCGCGTGATCCGAGAACTTAGTGATACGCGAGGAAGGCTGGGGATCGTTCTACACTAAGGGCACCCTGGCAGGCACCTTCTTGGTAATCAAGACCGGCACCCCAGAACAAAGAAAAATCTACTAAGGATTAAACTCTAAACTCTACACCCGAAATCCCTTAACATCCCTAGCCCCGACATCCTCTTCACCGGCAAAGCACTGGGGCCCCGACCCAGTCTGATCTGATGCGTTTTCTCTGCTCTCTTCCTTCAACGGGTCCCATGGCTACTTAGTTCTTGGTCCCAATCCCTTGAGGGCCTTTAGAGTTTGGGGGTTTAGGGTTTAGGGTTTAGGGTTAGGGCTTAGGGGTTAGGGTCTACTCTAGGAGGCCCTTAAAACCCTCTGAAAAAATACTCCTGAATAAGATCCTCTTCTATCCCAAGGGCCTACCAAGCACTGAACGGGCATCATGTGGGAGTTCGTGCAAGGTGTCCTCCTTCTGGATATCCAAGTTTACCAGCCAGCGGCCTCGCCAAAGTCACGGCCAGGAAGGGGTGCGTGGTTTAGGGTTTAGGGTTTAGGGTTTCGGGTTCAGGGCACCACAACTCTTCCAGTGCAAACTGATGGGGACGACCAAGCAATACTGCACAATCTATGACAATATCACATGAAAGTACTACCGATGTTGCGAACTAAATATGGCACCTACTAATACGTATGTAATCAAACAAGTCCGCCATAGTTATCACTCATTATATTGCATGAATAGAGCGCTAACACCTTTCAGCCTGGAAGCTTGCAACTCCAGCTTCATTGGTAGGGTATTTTGGAATTAGGTTGCAAAGCAGCAAGACAAACCAAGCAGAACTGCATTGACAGTAACGATAAGAAGAAGCAGGAAAAGACAATTCGAACAAACAAGCGCAAAGAAATCAATCATTGCCGTGACACTCCTACCTTGAAAACCGTTGTGGCTGCTTTTAACGGGCGCCGGCCGTTTTCCATTCTACAACACCTGAATCTTCCTTAAAAGCGTCACCGAAGAATGACCAACACCATAATGGTCACTGTGACCATTATTAAGATGTCCAGGGGTTTTCTGGGGTTTTCTGGGGTTTTCTGGGGTCTTGTGGGGCTTGAGCTCCTGCAAACATCCATTGTCAAACTTCAATCGCTTCAAGCCTCCATCATCTCCCCCCTAAACATGAAGTCCGAACCCTTACCAGGCTTGGATGATCTTCTTTTGCCTGCTGGCTCTTTCCGGTCGTCTGCAAAGATATATCGAGGGACTTACTTTTAGGAGGGTACGTCTCAGAGGCTACTTATAAATACTTTTTATATATGTATATATATATATATATGATCCTTATATGTATATATAAGGCTTTGTGTTCCCAGGGCGTTGTCTGGAAAAAAGGGTACTGGGTTTAGCTTGTAATACAGTTACAGGGCGTGTACTGGAAGAGTGCGGCTCATTGATGCCGGCGCTGACCATCGATGTGTCCTTGCAGGACAGATGTTTGAAACACACTCTCTGCCACAGATGTGTGCTGCAATGTGCAAATTCGACGAACGAAGAAATCTCCTGCAGGAACGATGGTATTGCCTGGGAGTGTCGCTGGGATGCTGCCTGGATTGTGCAAAGGACGGGCGGGTATGTGTACAGAAGATATATGTGGGCACTGGAATTCTATGAAGATACATGAGTTTGCAGGACCTGTGATTTCTTGCGATTTCATCGGGCCATCGTATGTGGACAGGAGGGCAGGAGGGTAACAACTAACATGCTTTTCGGGTCGGGCTTTAACAAAAACACATCCTCCTGCCTGCTGCGAGGCCGGCTCTAGACTGGATGGATCGATGGCTTCGATTCAATCGCTTGATCGGTGCCGCTGGCTAGTATTGTCATTCGACAACATTGCAGCCCTCGAGTATTTTGATGGACGGTGCACATGTTCTGGCATTGCGTTCAGTGGCCTCTTAGAGAGGGGGGGGGGTGGCACCATGCAGGCTCAAGCCCTTATAATACAGCTTGAACAGGGATCCAGGATGCAAGGCCTGGCCAAAAAGCTGGAGTGCTTGTCTTCTGTCCGGAAGCGCTTCCGGAAGACCCAGGAGCTGTTAAGGACACCACTTGATGCGGCTGGGGAGATTGTGTGGACAACCACTACTGCCCTTGAGGGCAATGCACAGATCATGAAGGCGACGATATCGCACATGTCCAGACGCAAGGTCACGGTACCGCAACTTGAGACGCAGGCCCATGGTTCCATGACATGCATATATGTGCACACCGAAGCCTTTGTTGTTGTACCTCGCTCTCCTCTTCTTTCTCTCTCTCACTCTCTCTCTTTTTCTCTCTCCCGTTCTCTCTCTCTCTCTCACTCTTTCTCACTCTCTCTCTCGCTCTCTCTCTCTCTCTCTCTCTCTCTCTCTTTTTCTCTCTCCCAGTCGAGCCCCTGCAAGGTGAAGGCTCTTTTCGAGAAAGTGGCCGTGGAGCCCAGCAACCCCAAACAGGCCTATCTGGATGCTTGGGCGGTGCGGCAAATGCTGAGTTTCGCTTTCAAGCGTCAGAAAGATGCTGATCGCCGTGACCAGACCCCCAAGGAGACTGCATGTGTTGCTGAAACATGACACGGTTTGTGATCCATCACGTACAATGGGTGAATGTTGCATACATGTTTGGCAGGAGGCCTCAGTTCGGGAGATCTTCGCGCTGTGCAGGGCAAAGCGCGCAGAATTTGGGGATGACAATGGTGATGATGATGAGGAGGAGGAAGAGGACGAGCAGCAGGAAGAGGCAGATGAAGAGTTTCCAGAGAATGCCGAGGAAGAAAAGACCAAGGAGAACGACCCTATCTGTGAAGTCCCAAGCGCGAAGTCCTGCACGTATGGCATGCTGCAGAAGCGGGACAAGCTTCAGCAGATGAGAGCTGAGATCCATAGGCTTTCGCACTTCCTGCAACGCGATTGCATTTGTACATGTACACGTAGTGCAGTTTTGATTTGCTAGTACCTGTGTGTTCACTCGAGGCAGTCTCGCGAATGTGCCGACAGCAGCTCGACTCGCTTATACAAGTTCTGATGTGTTGGGTTGCGCTTGTTTTTTTGGAGTATGTCGCAGCAAACGTTTATCCGAGGTGGGGCCGTTGTGATTGAGGACAGCCCCATCAAGAGACGGGTTCGTCGCAAGAGCACAGACAAGCTGCTTGTGCCGCCCGATGAGCAGGACACGCCTGCGTTGCACGGATTTTAATACGAAATATTGTTGTTTTGCTGTGTTGCCAGGAAACGCAACCGTGGGACATGCCTCCTACACCTGTAGTTCTGGACCGGGCGAAGAGTGTCGCCACGCTTGTGGATGCATCACCCACTGCGCCTCAAGCTACAACACAGTGTGAATATCGAAGTGTGTGCAGGCATGTTGTCAATGAAGTTTCATGACAGTTCACACAATCTCAGGTTCCTTTGACGGTGACGGCTGCAGGGCAGAATGCCCTAAGGATGCGAAGAAGCCTGCAAAGAAGGGGCCGAAAGCCAAAAAAAAAAATGATGAAGTGGCTGGAGGCA